GTTCTGAAAGTCTGATTTCTAAATTTCTGAAACTACACCATGGGCAACACTGGGGCTTCTCTACCCTGCTTCAAACATGTCAATATGAGAGGAGCTCTGGCCTGTGTTTTTGCATGTGAGAGTTACTCTTTAAGGTGCCGTGAGGTTCTTGGTTGTTTTTGTTCTGGAACCTGATTATCACGCAGCTTTGTCTTCTCCCGTCCATCTATCCTGCCTGTGCAACACGGAGCACTGGGACTGGGCTTCTTGAGTAGTCACAGTGGGAAGCACAGATCTCTCTGCCACTCAAGCTACAAGTCCAACCTTGGCCGTTTACCCGTTCGCGTCCAAAGGAGGGCTTTGGACAGCAGCAACTTGTTCTTCAGAATACTGCTTGTTCCAGTCTACTGGCTTCAGCAAGTCTCGTAATGTGTGCAACAGCTGCACAGATAGAGGAAAAGTTTCCACAAGTATTCTCAACCAGTCTTAGCCTCAGATGCCTTGCTCATGGTAACAGGGTTGCAGCCTGTCCCACGCCCTGCTTAAATCTACACCGGGACCCTGGCGCTTGATACCCACAACACAGACTTGCTCCTTTTCTTGTTGGCTGGAGCAAAATTGGAGGCATGCGCTATTCTTACAGTTTCTCAATTCGCTTGCCAAACTGCAGGACCTTCCACCTTGGCATCTGCCTTTTGAGGCTTCAGAGGTGAGATTATCCTCTGATTTATAATAGAACAGGGGAGGTACAGCCCATATTTTGGGGTGACAGTGAGGGAGCTTGGGTTTCCCTGTGCCTACCAGTTTGTGCTGTATCTGAGAATCCCGGATCATCTTTCTTTCCAGAAGGGAAGTCACACTAGTCTGTGCTGCAGCAAAAGCAACAGTGAGGCTTGGGGCACTTGAGACAAGCACAACGGCCACGGCAGAAGGTTTTAGGGACCCAAGTCTGCTTTGTTAGATGAATGGGATGGCACCTCCCCACCTCTGTGTGCGCGCATGCGTGCAGGTACACAGTGAGGCAGTTTCATGCGTCTGACGAAGTGGGTTCTGGTTCCAAATTATAATAAATTTGTTCACATGCCACAGGATGCTGCTTTGCCCCCTTAGGATGAAGACATTTGCTCATCCATGGGAACAGATGCAACCAATACGGTGCCTACATTTTCCTAAGGCATGTCTCCCTCCCTCCTTTTCTTGAATCATACCGGCATGTGGTCCGGGAGCCAGCACCCTCGTGGGTCATGCTGTTTCTGAAGGAAGTGTGGACTCAAACCTGTGCCTCTTTCTGCAAGGGAGTATTCAAAAGGCAAAGCTTTGGGAGGAGATCAAGAGATCTCCTGTTTCCTCTTTTTCACAGGCCTCTTCAGAGACACTTCTCAAAGAACAATTTTAGTACATTGCAGCAGGACTCCCAGCTAAATTGGTGCACCGCTACAAGCTCACATGAGGGCCATTTTGGATGACCTCACTGCCTAGTTAATTATGGAGGCAGAAATTTCCCATGCTAAGAACTCTGAGGAGTGCCCATAGTAGCTACAGTAAGATTGCTCCAGATGGAGTGGTTCTGAACATTACAGCTTTACACAAATTGTATTTATCCTATGCAAACAAAACCCTAACAGGAGAACAGCCTCCTACCATCGAAGACCCCTTTCTACCCCCTCCAACAGTCCTTCTGCAGAAGAAGCCCTGAGTGCTGCAGAGGGAATCCATGAGCAAGGGCAAGACCTCGGCCGTTCACACGGAGTGCTGGCTGGACATTCTGCAGCTCACTGCTAACTCCTGTGAACCGATATTGCCACAGCAGGTCAGACTGTCTTTTTAAAAAGAAACTGACATACCTGAAGGATTGTGTGAGTCCACAATAAAGATGTGACGACACTATTGTCAAGTGCCCACAATCTCTGAGGGCCAGAGGGAGGGGTCCTGGAAGGACTGAGTACCGGGAAAGTTTATTGGCTTTTGACTTTAGATGCTTCTTGCTTTCTTTAAAAATGTATATAATGGAAAGATGTATAATGGAAATGGAACAAAGTGAAGAAATTAGCGTTTCAGAGGAAGAAATGTTTTAGACAATAATCAATAAGTTTAACTCAAGACAGGTCAGGGAGAACAACCTTCTTGTGACTTGTAAAAGTATTTTAGGTATTTTTTAGCAAAAAAACCCTTGCATATTATTTGATGTCTGATGTCTGCAAGGGCATTGGAGTCAGCACTGTGGTGGGAGGCCACACCCTCTGTACAGAAATATGCATACAAATTTGCACTGGGGAGGTTCTAATCACACAACGTGCAGACTAGAAAATAAAGGCGCTGTGTGGATTGCACAGCTGGCCTGGGACTACAGCCTAGAGGTTTAGGATTCCGTGCATGGCAGGCTATAATGCACATAGCCAACAAATGTAGGGGAGCCAGACACACGGGCTTGTAGCTGCACTCTCTGCTCACAAATGAAAACCCAACACCTGCCCAGGGCTTTTGTCGCAGTGCTTCGTGGGAAAAGGACGGTCCACAATTTCACATATAGCCTGCAAGTGTGTCCCAAGACTACTTATCTGGTATATAGCGGAGCAATTACATATTGTTGTTTTTATGCACAAGCCAAAACAAACATATTTGCTAAATATGTTTTCTTTAAGAAGTTATGCTCTGGCAATCTGATTGAAAGCATCGTGTGCACAAATACGCGAGATGTTTAATGTCAGCTGCAATCTCCCTTCAATGCTGGAGTAAGTCAGAAGCCCTGTAGGAACGCTCTCTCTATCCCTTGAGATTTAGCAGCATTTTTCTCCCATGGAGAACAGAGAATAAAGAGATGCACCTCTCACTATTACAACAAATGTTTTGTTTGAAAAACTTGGACCCTTACTGATTTTTTAGGAGCTAGTCTTTAAGGAGAGAACAAACGGAGACGCATGCACACATGTGTAACGAGGGCAAGCTTTTCTTTCACGCTGCCAATGAAGTTGTTTGGTTCCAAAGCCCAGATCTGGCTGGAGTCTAGCCTTTGAGAGGCTGAAATTAAAGACCAACGGAGATGTCCAAATTCCACACAAAACAGCCCTCCAGAAACTGCCTTCCTGCACTCTTCAACAGCCTAAGAAACCAGGACCAATCCTCTCAGTGCACCCCTGTTTACAGCCATCATACTTCTCTGTGGCAAAATTTGGTTCAAACGGTTTTCCCTCCTCACCTCTTTTTCTGCAGCTGCTAAACAGTCTTGAGTGGGAAAATAATCCGTACGAAGCAAGTAGATATAAGATCGAAGCAGAATTTTCAGAAATAGAAAACTTCCATTCTTGCTTAGCTCTTTTCTCATGACCAGAGCTGAGAGCAATTCAAATTCTCCAGCAAGAAAAGCTGCGTTCTGTCACCTGCATCTACTCGGGAAGTTAAGAACGGGGACATATTTTTATTTGAAGGGGTTTTGTGTTGCTTAGTTTGCATAACTGACTCTAGTTTTGCAACTCCTGTGAAAGGACTAGATGCTACGCAGTTCCAGTTTCAACTCACTGGAAAGTTTGGTCTTCCTCTCCAGATTCTGAGAGTTCTCACTGCCCCTTTCAAGCACATCATTGTAATCACCATGGCTAGAAATGTTGCTTTTGAAAATGAAAATAGCCATTTCTGAGGGAGTGGAATTCTGCATGCAGAAGCATGTTCTCTGTGTTTCCTGCTTCCTATAGAATTGTGGAATACACAAGGCCCTGCCGATGACAAACAGAAGCAGAATAAATTAGGCAACCTAAAGAAAATGATGCGAATGTATTAAGAGTTCAGAATACAGCTTTTCTTTTTATACAGTCTGGCTTAATGTGGAAAAGACATTTTTAAACACATTAGCACTAAGTGTATAGGATGAAGGATGGCATGCTTTGGGCTAGAATGGCTTAGGGTCAGGGAAAAAATTCCTGTTGTCTATAGAGTTTATGGCTACACAACCCAGCAAGTAACACCGCACACTGAATTCTCTAATGGTAGCAAGAGATGAAGCAACTTAACCAGGGACAGAAAAAACTGGAATGCCAAGTTTCTGAACTTCCTACAAAATTGAAAACTGCCATTGCCCACAATCCTCTTGATCACTTTAGCATAGCTGGATAAAAACCGTACATATTTGCACTGAAAACTTGAATAGAAGCAATTTTAAATTTAGATGGGAGTTTCCACTTAGGACTGTGAGGGCCCGTGAGAGTTAGACTTTTTCTATCTAAAATGGCGGCATTCCGTTGTCTCCCTGGGGAACCTTAAAACCAGTACTTTGGTGATGGGGCTGGAAATCTGTACATTCTCAGCATCTATGACAAAATGATGACATCTATGACCCAGGATTCTTTGTCTTGGAAAGCTGTGAAAAATAAAATGTCATCGAGCCAAAATAATATGGATATATAGCTCCCTCCTTTCCAAACAAATGAACACTTATTTGGCATAAAAGAGAGCTCCTCCCCTACTTTTCTTGTGACAAGTTTCCAGAACCTTCCATATCTGCACTGTCGAAGGAAAATGAACAGGTTAACGCCTACCTTGTAGTTGCAATACTGTATCAGGAACCCAAGGAAGTTTCTACCTTTCATGCAGCTGTGAACTGTTCACGAGCCTCACCAGGAAAGAGCTCACCTGATTTAATGAGCCAGAATTGGCCATGGGGTTAGGGACAGGTGATCTAATTTTATGCAGAAAAGGCACATCAGTGATGGCATGTTGGGTCCAGAACACCTGAGCTTATAACGGCAGCTAGCTTGAAAATCCATAAAATACAGAGCTGACATTCAATCTGTCCATCTTCACATTCTCAGAAGCAGAAGGAGAAGGAGAGAGAGAGGAGATTAATTTGGGTCAGGGAAACCCACAAGATTAGCTGGAGCCATTCCTGTGGCATGCCAGGCATCCCTAGATGCATTCTTTAAAACTAAGCAATCGTGTGCACAAGCGCATTCCACTTCTAGCACAACCTTGCTTCATCCTCCTGCCTGACATCTTCCGTATGCTCGGCTGGAAGGCAGAGTGCTGTGAAAAATGGAGACCAAGACTGTGTTTTTCTGAAGGACAATCCAAATCCTCTCAAGGGTTTGGTTACCAAATGAAAAGTAATTCAGGACCGCTGAGGCCGATGCCGTTCTAGCCCAGAAGCACCAAAGGGCTGGGAGGCAGTGGTTCCTCTCTCAGGCATTCTTGGCTCGTCAAGCAGCTCCTGGGGAGGAGCAAGGGAAGACGGGTCCTTTCACTAGTCCTTGCCCCATGATGTTTGCTCCTGCTGGAATCGCAATCAGATGCAGGCCACCACAGCCCAGGGCCCTAGGCCGGGTTTGCACGAAACCCAGAAAGAAACTTGCTTTAAGGTGTGGCAATGCCTTGTTCCAGTGGCACACAGGATAAAGCTCCCCCAGGCTCCTCCTCTTCTATGTCTTACACTCAGAGATTCTGGAGCAATTCCCTTTTTCTCATTCATGATGTGCCCTTCCAACCTCATCGGGCAGCAGCAGAGTTGCCCGCCCTGGCTCCAAACTGAGCCACAAGGCTCTCTTCGTTGGAGAGAGCCCAAAAGAAAGGGATGGGTTTGACCCAGTGGTCTCATACCAGGAACAACGAGCCCGTCCCCTCTGTGTCCGGAGATGACTCCTGCTTCCGGTTGTGAAGTTGGGTATATACACCATTTATGACATAACCACAGGGGGTAGCAAATCCCACCCTCTTCCCCGAAACCTGAGGTGGAGCTTTGCTCTCCTACCTATTCCCCTGCCAAGTCAGATCAGTCCAACGAGACTTCGCAGGGATTCTCACGGGCTCGGCGTGCATCCTCGTAGATGTGGCGGAAGTCCTTGTAGCGGGGGGCGCAGCTGAGCCAAGCCTCCCCAAAGTGCAGCCACCCCGCGAATAGGAAGCTGCCGGGTCCTGGCTTCACCCCACACCGCAGCAGGGTACGGATGCTTCCCGTGGATTTCCCATATTTGCCTACTGGCTGGAACAAGGCAAATTTCTGGTGGTGGATCCGGGTGGCGATCACGCTGATGATGGACTCTTGCAATTCCACATCATTGGAGACTGTCCAGATATTGCCACGGATGACTATGGGAGAGGAGGATGGCAGAAAATGGGGGCATTTATTGATTTAGGAAAATGCCTTTCCGTAAAACGTCCATGATAATTAAAAGCATGGTAAAAACAGTATCATGCAAGGATATGAAAGAACAGCAGATCCAATCCCAATGGCAAACAGCTTAATAACTAACACTACCCAGGGGTCAGCAAACTATTTTCTTGGGGAATTTCAACAATTGCCTACAGAGGGGCCACACAAGTCAGGCTAAAGCACAGGAACTGGGTCTGCCAGGCAGACGAGGAGAAGTTTGAAATGCTCTCTGCAAGTAAACCTCTCTTTAAAAATGGGGCCTCTGCCCCATGGCGGAGGGCTGCCAAAGATGGAGGAAGACGAGTGGCCACGTGCCCTCTTTTACAGATGCTGGTCTTCTGTTTGTAGGGCTGTCAGAGGACCCTCTTCCATTGAAGGTCTCCTTTGTCTGAAGTCCAATTCTGGTTTAAAACTAGAGAAGCATAAGCCCTGTTGCTCATCAACCATTTGCACCCCGGTTGCAGCCCGAACAGAGAGGCACACTGGTCAGAGATTTTGCACTAGGGTGAAATATCCTGTATTGCTATTTAAATTACCATAATTCTTTATAAAGTTGCATCTGTACATACAGATTAGCATACACCAATCTTATGCAAATTGCTTCCCTCTTTTTCCTCTTCTAGCATTGCATTTTCTCTTTTTTTCTTTGCCAGGCTACAATTGCACCAGTTTCATTTCTTCCTCATTGGCCACTGGTTTATCACTGGATTCTGTTCAAAGAATTAGAATTGACTCTAATAGTTTGCAGCACAATGTCCAAAGGATTACTTACACCCATAAGAACCTGCCAGTGCGCCCAGATCAACATGGCACTCAGTTCTCCCACAGGCTCTGAGAACAGACATTCCAAGTTCCATTCCTGGCATCTTCAGGCAAAGCTGGAAAAGCTCCTCTACAAAATCTTGGAGAGTCCCAGCCAGTCCATGTTGGCAGTTTTGACTTGATCGTCTGGCTCAATATAAGACAGCTTTGTACATTCCTGTGTCACCCTCCCTTTAGACAGGTAGGCAGCAGAGACATGGTCTTTTCAGTTGGGGCACCTAAACTATGAAGCGCACTCTCAGTGGAGTCTAGCTGGCTCCTTTGGTTTTTGGCAAGCAGCCAAAGATCACATGGTCCTACAAGCATTTGGTCTAGGATGGCCATTTATGGCCCCCAGAGGGGAAATGCATCACCCACGAACAGGACACCAATTTGGATAACACTAGTACATGCTGACTTACACACATGAATGCAAATGCAGAGGTGATTATTGTCATAGAAATAGATCTATTTCATAATTGGGCCCTGTTGGGATTTTTGTCCAGAGACAAACACTAATGGACAATTTCAAGGCTGCTTCTCAGCCTTCATATGGTTTTTTATCTTTGCACTGAATCTTGATAGGGCAACTTTTCAAATAAAGGAAAGTGATCTGTTAAAAAAGGACACAAGGCCCTAATTCTGAACTTTCCTAAGCCTTTTTTTGCCTGTTCATTTTAAAAGTTGACATTTCTTAGTTGCTGTTTTCAGTTGTTAGCTAAGACTAAGAGTGGTTAAAAGTCCGCAAAGCAAAAAGAATGGCAGATGCATCCTTGACTCACTGAGCAGTGGAAACGATGCTGCACCACTGACTGGCTCCGAGCCTTTCGCTAAATGTAACTTGTCAGATCTAGCCAATTACGTACAGGGATTGTACTATCAGCCTGCTTGCACGGAGGTGCGTTTGGGACTCTCCAAATCAGCAAGAATTAGGCCCTCCAAGATGGGCTGACGAGCCGTGATCGGATCTGGCGTGGCAAATCCCTTTGTTCTTCTATCTGACTTCCTGGTTACCTTGGCAACCCCGGAGCGGGCAGCCAGCAGACCCCATGACCCACTTCTCTCACTGTTTATAGAATTGCAAATCTGGAGGTTAGTGGAGCGTGCAGGGCAGTAATTGGCATCTGCGCAGACAGCTGTGAGTGTGCAGCCATTTCAATGGGAGCGCCTGGCCCTGCCCGCAGCTCTGGCGGGTGGTGCCCCGGCCCGGCCCGGCAGTAGCAACCAGTCCATTATCGAACCGGCAGGAAGAGAGGACAGCGTCCCGAGGGACAAGTCTGAGCTTTCACAGCTGCACACACGTGGCTGAGAATGGCTTCTATGCCATTTTGCAGGAGAAGAAGAAAATTTGTGGTGCAAAATCCTTCATCGCATTCCTCTGGACTCCCACTCAGATGTGGACGGAGTCCTGGAAGGGCACAGAAGACAAGAAGCTGCCAGAGGAATGTACTGAATTGAGCTTGGGTCCACCTGGTCCAGTGACTCTATTTCAGGCCGCGGTTTTTGCAGTCCTACCTAGAAAACGAGGCTTTGGGACTGGGGCATTTTGCAGTTGAAACAGGCACTCTACCAGCGAGCTAAAATCTTCCCAGCAAGTCACAATGTTTCAGCCTCACCTCCGTATCTGTGAAGCAGGGGCGTTATGAATCTAACCTACAAGGTGGTTGTGAAAAAGAACGGATAAGGCTTGCAAAGCAAAGGGAGCTGCAGGTCAGCAGTGTGCACTGGGCATGCCCAGCTTCGCGGTGTCTTCAAAATCCTGTTCGGGGGCTTGCAGGATCATATGCCTACCATGCGACTTGACTAACGACCCTCCTGGCGCGTGGCTTCCCATGTTAAATCCCTCAAGGGGCAAGGTGGGCTGGCGCCACAGCCACCCCAGGATCCATGGTGTGTTGTTGGGTTCTGCCGTGGTTTTGAAGACACCCCTTCAATGCGCCCCGCTGGCGTCAGGTAACATGGAAAGCTGTGATAATTGGGCAAATCACGCTGCACGCCACTGGAACACAGGACGCAGGGAAAAGAAACCAAGGGGGCTTCTGGGCAAGGGATGGCGTATTGTGTTGCCCGAACCCAACCAGAGTCCTCAACAAGCCTTTCTGCTGGGTTCAGACAACACGGCAAGCAGCCCCTGGCATGTAAAGCACCGAGGCTTGTGTTGTGTGAATGGACAGACAACTCCCCTCACCATAGTAAGGAAGACTGACCAGGTGGGCTGCGTGCCCCCTCGGTTCAGCTTCTGAACGTCGACAAGCAACTTCAAGACCCTGTGCACGCTTCCAGCCATTCTCCATCTTTAAAAGGAGGCACGGAGCGTGCAGCTGCTCAAGCGGAAGATGGCTTCAAATGGAGGACTGCCATCCGACAGCCCTGGAAAACATGGACCGGCTTCGGTCAAGCGGGATACTTTTGCAGGGGCAAGCGCCACCAATGCAATCTTCTGAGCGTCGCCAAGTGGTGCTGCAGTGAGACAGAAAAGCCTTGCCTCCGTGTAGACCCAGAAAAACAGCATGAAGCTTTACCAGAACGAAGGCCGTTGCTTGTTGTTTGCTGAGATGTCTGTGCTGGCACATGGCACAGTCTGACTCGTGGGCACGAAAGCTATGAAAGTGGGACACGGACGGAACCTGCCAGGGTGGAAGCTGCCAGGGTGCCAGTCTTCCCACGATGATGCTGAAAACAACCATGGAGACGATGCATGAGAAGAGCTACTCACCAAAGTCACTGGTGCAAACGGCCATCAGAATCTCGGTGTTGTTACACGGCCGGCAACTCCCTGCATCTTCCAGAAAGAGAGGGGGGGGTGGGAGGGAAATAGTCACTAACCAAGCCACCTCTCCATCGAAGATTCTTCTTTAGAGTACAGATTTAGGGGAAAGGGGATGTGTGAAGCTTGCTTTCTCCCTTATTAAAATAGCTGTGCATTCTGGGAGTGTCTGTGCCCGTTTTTTTTTTTTTTTTCCACTTGAAAATACTGCAGGTAACTTGGTACACTCTGCAGCAGACATCTCCAACCCAGCACCTTCCACATACATTGGACTACAACTCCCATCAACCCAGCCAGCATGGCCAGTGATGGGAGCTGTAGCTCAACACATCTCTAACACAAGTTGGGCAAGGTTATTTTACACCTGGGAGTAGGCTGGAGGAAGAGTGAGATTTGCAAGAGATGAGTAGATCCCTACTTGTAAGCACTGTACAATTACTCTTCCCCACCCCACTAGCAAATTATGCTCCTGAAATTAAGAACGCCCAAGTCACCAGGATGGCGTTTTTGTGCAGGACTGAGAGTCCCATTCAGTTCTGCCACCCAAAAGAAATTCCTGGGCTCAGAATTCTTTAATCTGAAATGTATTTATTTTGCTGGTAGATTTGGGGCTTCCTCGAAAAAACATGAGAAAGCCCTGCTGGATCAGGCCCAAGGCCCATCTAGTCCAGCACACCTGCCCACAGGATCCCTCCAGCAGGATGGGTGCGAGACCTTCACCTGCCCAAGCTCCTCAGCCACTGGCGTATGCAGGCAGGCCCCCTCTGGTCAAAGAGACGCACCTGGCCAGCAAGGCTAGAGGCCACGGATCGCCTCCTCCCTCATGCATCCGCACAAACCCTTTTTAAAGTCACCTAGACTGGCAGCCATGCCCTCTCCCTGTGCCAGTAAATGCCACTGTTTAACTATACGCTGTGCAAAGGACTTCCTTTGATCTGTTCTAAGCCTCCCTCCAATCAGTTTCATGGGATGACCCCTTTGGGTCTGCGTGTTGTGGCAGAGGGAGAACAACGCCCCCCACCTTTCACCATACCATGTTTTATTTTAAGGGACATGGGGAATTATAGACCTGTTAGCCTTACGTCCATTGTAGGAAAAACAATGGAAAGGCTCATAATAGTGAGAGATCTAGTGATGCTAGATAGGGAAGGGAGGCTGAGAGCCGCACAACACGTCTTCCACAAAAACAGGTCCTGCCAGACAAACCCTGTGGAATTCTATGACAAGGTTTCGAGATGGCTAGATGGAGGGGATGCAGTGGATGTGGTATACCTGGATTTCAGCAAGGCCTTTGACAAAGTGCCCCATGATATCCTGGTGGAGAAGCTGAGGAGTTTTGGGATACACCAAAGCACTGTCCGGTGGATTAGGGCATGATTGACTGACCGAAAGCAGAAGGTAACCATTAGCGGGGAATCGTCGGCACGGTGGCCAGTGACAAGCGGGGTCCCCCAGGGCTCTGTCCTGGGGCTGATCCTGTTTAATCTTTTCATTAACGACATGGAAGAAGGGGTGAACAGTCTGCTGATCAAATTTGCAGACGACACTAAAACTGGAGCAGTGGCCACAACTGAGGAGCAGGTACTCCAGATCCGAAAGGATCTGGACAGACTATGGAAGTGGGCAGGAGACCACAGGATGGCGTTCAATGTGGCTAAGTGCAAGGTCTTGCACTTGGGGCATAGTAATAGCTGTCATAAGTACAGGTTAGGTGACAAGTGGCTGGACCTCGGGGTGCTGGTTGACTGCAGGCTAAACATGAGTCAGCAGTGTGATGTGTTGGTCAAGAGGGCGAACGCCACCCATAGTTGCATAGCCAGAAGTATGGCTTCTAGATCAAGAGAGGTATTACTACCACTCTACACGACTCCGATGCGCCTGCAACTGGAGTATTGTGCTCCGTTTCGGGCTCCTCATTACAGAAAGGATATAGCTAGGCTAGAGTCAGTGCAGCGTAGGGCCACAAGGATGGTGGCCCGTTTGCAGGGGATGCTGTATGAGGCGAGACTGAGGGAACTGGGTCTCTTCAGCCTGGAGAAGAGGAGACTCAGAGGGGATATGTTGGCGACATGCAGGTATGTGAGGGGATGTCACACGGAGGTGGGCAGAGACCTGTTCTCCCCTGCAGAGGAAGGCAGAACGTGCTCCAACGGAGCAAAGCTCAGGAAGCCAAGGTTTCGTTTGGATGCCAGGAAGCACTTCCTGACAGTCAGGACCCCGAGGGTGTGGAATGGGCTTCCACGAGAGGTCGTTGAGGCCCCGTCGGTGCGGGTGTTCAAGGACAGGCTGGACGTCCACATGGTGGGCATGTCATGAGCGGAGCTGGCTGGTGCCAGAGGTCAGACTAGATGGCCCAAGAGGCCCCTTCTGACTCGCTCTGTTTCTGTGTTTCTATTTTAGACACCTTGTCATGTCTCCACTTACTCACCTTTTTTTCTAAATTGAATTGGTCCCAGTTGTTGAAGCTGCCTCTCAAAGGCAGTGGCTCCAGCCCCCCAGTCATTTTTGTTGCCTTTTTCTGAACTTTTTTACAACATGATAATGTCCCTTTTCAGGTAAGGTGACCAGAACCGAACATAACATTCCAAGTGTGCTTGTGCCAAAGATTTGTATAAGGGGGAGTAAGATTCTGGCAGTTCTATTTTCCAGTCCATTTCTGATTGTGCCTGGCATGGAGTTTGCCTCCTGCACAGCAGCTGATCCCCTCAGTGTATATGTGAAGTTGGGATTTTTTGTCCATTTCTCTACCTGCAACTGAATTGGCCATTTTGATGCCCCTGCTCCAGTTTGGAGAGATCCCTTTAGAGCTCCTCACAACCCCTTTTGGCTTTAACCACCCTAAACAATTTGGTGTCATCAGCAAACTTGGCCACTTCATTACTTACTCCTGATTCCAGATCATTTATGAATAGGTTAAAAGGCATCGGCCTGAATACAGAACCCTGCGGGACTCCACTGGTGAAATAGCCATTTATTCCCACATCTGTCTTCTGTTCTTTAACCAGTTAGCGATGCATAAGAGGATCCTCCCCCCCTTTATCCCAGGACTGCTTAGTTCGCTTAGAAATCTTTGATGAGGGATTTTGTGAAAAGCCTTTTGGAAGTCCAAGTAAACAATGTCTACTGGATTGTCTCATCCACATGCTTAGTGACACTCTCAAAGAACTTCAATAGTTCTCGAGACAACAAATGCTCTTGTGGAAGCCATGCTGATTTATTTTCAGCATGGCTTATCCCTCTATGTACTTACTGATTTTTTTCTTTAAGAATGTTTTCAAGCAGTTTACCCAGAACAGCTGTTATACTAACTGCTCTGGAATTTCCCAGACTCCCCTAGAGTCTTTTTTTTTAAATGATGTTACAGCAGCCATTTTCAATCCTCTAGCAGCAGGGCTAATTTTAAGTGCATGTCAAGTATTTTGGTAAGAATTTCATGTTCGACTTCTTTGATAACTATCTTTGGTTCTTTGATACCATTTGGACCAGGTGACTTGCTGAGCTTCAGTTTGTCAATGAAGCTGAGAATTGCATCTTCTGTCACTACTACCTGCCCTAATTCCTGAGACTTCCTTCCAGAATACACAGCCCAGGGACATGGATTTGCTCTGCATTCTCTGCTGTGAAGATGGATTGCAAGAATTCGTCCAGCTTCTCTGCAATCGCTCATTCCCATTTTGTTGCTTGCTAGTTGCAAAGTCGCATCCCATTTAGTGCTCCTTTAATTCCACCATCACCCAATGGCCCAACTGCTTCCTTAGGCACTTCCTTGCTTCTGATATATTTAAATAAGTCTAGCATTGAGAGCGTTAGAATGTGCTCCTCAAACTGCTCCTTTGCTGTGCTGATGTCTGCTTGCATCTCCCTTGTGCCAGCTTCTGGCTCCATCTGTTCTTTCCATTTGGGAAGGACTTCCATTTTTTGAAGGAAGCTTCCTTCTCCTTGACTCTATGCATTAGTCATGCTGGTGATTTCCTGGACCTTGTATTACCTTTTCTCCCTTGTGCCTCGATTATAGTGTTTTTGAAGCATTTCCAAGCACTTTGAAGTGATTTAAACTTCTTGATTCCCCTCTTCAGCTGTTTCTTTACCAGTCCCCTCATTTTTTATGTTCCTCTTTCGAGGTCTAACACAACTGTGTTGGACCTCTTTGGCAGTCTTCCACCCCAATGCATATTGAATCTGATACCAGCACGGCTGATGTTACCTAATGGCTCAGCGACATTTCCATCCTGCACTAACTCCTGGGCAACCCCACCTAGGATTATATCCCTGCTGCCTCCCCCCTCATTTGTTCCCCAGCCAACTGCTCTACGGCACAGTCATTTATGCCTTCAAGAAATTCACCTCTCTGTCAGAACACCAATGCAGGTCGTACCAGCATAAAGCTGGCTCACCCCAACTTGCACTGGAACCCATGCCTTCCTCATCCGTGTGTCATTTGTGGGATTCCAAAACTTAGCATCTCATATCACCCTGCCATGTGGTCCCTCACAGCAATTTGTCCAAACTGTTTTGCATCGGCCGCAATGCGGAAATGTAACTCTAGCATGACTCTTTCCTTCGCTAGCACCGCACAGCCCTGTTGCTTCCTGTTGCCTCCCAGTCGCAATTCAAGGTGGCGGCTTTCCTGCACACTCCGTCACTGTCTTGCCCATTTCCTGCTGACATCCTCCAAGGGTGTCATCTTACTGATACCATCTATGATCAAATTGCAAAGGGACAGAAAATAACACTTTCATTTCTGATAGGTTATTCTGGTTTGCTTTTGAAACTTTCAGACTAACATCTTACAGACCATACAAACACTTTTTCCATAGCTCTGTTCCAACTATGTGGCTTTAACAAGTCGGACTGTTAACTTTTGTTCCTCTTTACGGTATTACAAAACTCTTTGCTGTTTCATTTCTATGAGAGATCAGAAAACAACTCAAGGGGAGGCCCTGCGTTCTCCTTTATGGAGGCTGGCCTTCTGTTGAAGGGCTGGCAGAAGATCATTCTCTGTATGAAGGCAGGCT